AAAACAGGTCCATTTACCATTTACGAATGAATGAATGAATGAATGAATGAATGTGTGCGGATGGATGAGTGTGGCATGTAGTGTACAGCACTTTGAGTGGATGAAAGACTAGAAAGCCACCGTGTTTTTGACGTGTTTGGCAGCCGCTGTAGTTTCTCCTTTGAACTTAGAACAGGAGGGTGAAGCAAAGGGGTCGTATGTAACTACACCACTATATGTCACATAATCCTACACACTGGACCTTTAAGCTACTTCTTGGTAGGCAGGCGACAATATGAAAATTTAATTTCACAATTGTCAAAACAATTGCGATTCATGATATTATCACAATGATCACTGGAATTTCTGCTCATCCAGTTTAACTCTATTGTGGGGATACAATGGGCAAACAGAGCCTTTAGCCATAGTAGTCCAGCAGTGAGTCCATTTCCATTAGACCCCATATTAAAATGTCCAACTTTACAACAGAAATAAACTATGTTTACGGTCTGGTACAAAAAACAGTTTTGGTAATTATAGCTAATTTCCCCGTTCATGACTGTACAGAGGGCAAATTTTTATATTTATTTATTATTTATTTAAATTATATTAAGGCTTAGGGTTGTGCGTAATTAAAGGTGTGACAGGCGCGTGGATTTTTGGATTAGCCTGGACCCAATGGAGTCAGGACTTCCGAACTGGCAACGCCAGAGCTGACCACGCTGAGCTCTTCAGAAACCTATAGGTGACGTCTAGGAGACTCTGTCCGTGTTTTATACAGTATCATTGACGTGCATAAGAACAACATTTGAGCAGCAATGCGAACTGTGTGACCGCAGATTGTTGTACAAAGACTTGTACTGTATAAACAGTGCAGGAATGTGGAGGCTGAGCAGCTGAGACACAAGAATGTTTCCTGCCTACTCATTAACACAGAGTTCTGTCATCTAACAACACTACAGCAGGACGACAGGGAGCGGAGGAAGGAAGGAAGGGTAAGGAAATGAAAGAAAGAAAAAAGTCATATTAAAATCGGTTTAAATTTAGTTACTTTCAATTTGATCAGTGTTTAAAACAAAAACAAGCAACAGGTTCATTTATTCTCTTCCTTCTCCTCTGTAGATAGTTGCATCTGCTAAGTACCAGTTAGGCACTCGCAAGATAATGGTGAACAGTAAAGACAAAGTTCACAAGATAAGCACAAGCGAGCATTTCAATTATGCTGGAAACAGTAGCTTAGGTGGTGGTAGAGGATGAGGGTGAAACTCCATCTGTGTATAACGCAGTTTGCTGCAAGTCTGAGAGGAAGGTTGATAAAACTGGGTCTTTTTTCAAAGGTTCAAAGTTTCCGAAAAACGTTGCTGGAGTACAGACTCAAAAATAAAAAAGACCACGTCCACTAAGTTAGTGTTCAATGAAACACTAACTTCCAGGGGAAAAGGCCTGAGGCTTTATTTCATGCAACAAATCTCACATATTAGCTGGGTGTGTTCATTGTGTAGGCTGTCATTTACTTCCTAACTGATCGTGAGACGAGACGCGTCAAGAGCTCAGTGGCTTACCACCTCAACCAACAACTTCCTGTGGTAAAACCCGGTTTAAACTGTTCACTTCAGCAGCACAAGAGTCTAACATTTCTCACTGTATCATGTAGCCTAGAATAAAATGATTTCACCTGTCCTGTGGTATACTGTTTGAGGTTTTTTGTTCTTTTGATTCCAGCTGAATCAATAAACATAAAAGAACACAAACTACACATAAAAGATCTGTAGTGAACCTAAACTGCTGACTCTTCATGTCAGTTCTTCCTCTGGTTCTTATGGTTCAAATCTAAATTCTTCAGTTCATCAATCAATTCATCAATTCTAAATTCAGGTCGTCTGGTTGTGTCTGCCTAAAGATCTAAAGTAAGTATATACTGACTGTATATGTGTGTGTGTGTTGCAGCTGCATCCTCTGGTCATGCAGGAAAAGGCGAGACTCCTCCCTGCAGTACAGTAATGACAGGCTTTGAACCACACACACACATTCATAAGTACTCACATGTGTACGTTTACAGGCACATATGAATGAAAACATATGAAAACACCACTTTATAGGCAGTTTTCTTACATTTGGTGATGATGGATACCAAAGTCCTGGTACTCTGATCACTTATCTGCTATGAAACCTGACGAAATACATTTTATTTTATCCAGAAATAAACATTCTGGTTGCTAATCAGGAACTATTCACTCACTTTGTCTTATACCAGGTATAAAAGTCCTCAAGCAAAACAAATCTGCTATAAATGTAACAAACCATGTTATAACATTATAATAACCCTTCATTCAAAGGCTTTTGTGGCTGTATGCTGACATGTAAAAACAAACCTGACAGACTGCGGTTCGTCACTGACATTTGGTCCACAGTGCAGATGTGGAATCAAACTCACTGAGCTGTTGGACAGGGTTGTCCTTGCTGACTACAAAGGAAACAGCCGGCTCTCAGATGGGTGGAGTCAGGCCAGAATGCTGAAGGTGCTCCTGGGAGAAAAACTGGCTGCCTAAGACTCAGTTTGTGCTAATGATGAGGATGATGAGGATTATAACCTGCTTTGTTTCAGTAGCTGCAGCTGTCAGCGACCAGCTCTGAGTTACCAGCTAAGTTACAATACCACCAACAACTTTACTAAAGCCGCTTCATGGAGACAAATCAGGGCCAAATGTTACTGCATGTAAGGACCGCACAATGTGATAAAAATATATAACAGATTATAATTATAGGCCTACACTATATAACAATACTACACTCTACAACCCTTGCTCAATGTCCTGCCCACAGCACTATTTGATTGGTTACAACTTATGAGTAATAGCCTGTCAACACTGAAGGCTGCTATGCCACAGACAGGCAGAGGCTGGAGCTGATCCGGTGAGTAGAGCAGTGTGTGGAGGAGAAGGCAGCAGCTGAAGTCACAATAAACATCACAATCTTATGATCGGTTTCTATGACAACAAGCTATAGTTTCAGTTTCCCAGTTAGATTTCTGAAAATACCCAAAGTCACAGGCTCCAGGATTTAACTCAATGGACACAAAAGCGATAGCTTTAAACTCATGACATAGAAGACTATTTTGGCCCAAACATTTAGCCACCAGTGTGTCCTGATATTAACTCGCAAATGTGAAATCTACTCTTATTTGGTGCTTGCCAGGTGTTAATTTGGGTCCCTGAGTGGGTATGATAATTTCTGTATCATATTCAATTAAAAAAACTATTAAGCTTATGATGATGTGACACTTGTTGTGGTACCAAATAAACATGTTTTCTTACATGGAGCAGCTGTCAGAGGTAGAGCAGGTCGTCCACTAACGGTTAAAACTTGGACATGCAGCAGGAGGAGCCAAGGATTCTGTATAGTGGACAACCTGCTCTACATGTCATTGTTTCACTTTGCATTTCTTGTTATTTCTTTCATGTTCCCCAATAAAATACACCTTCAATAATGCTTTTCCAGTTCCACCTGGTAGAGCTTCAATCCCCATGTACAGAAGCTGAGTCCTTGCTGCAGCGGCCATGGGTTCAGATCTGACCTGTGACCCTTTGCTGCGTGTCATCCCCTCTCTCTGTCCCCCTCCTTTCCTGTCTGTCTTGAGCTGTCCTATCCAATAAAGGCAAACAAGTTTTCCCTCTTCAACACCATGAAAGCTGAACATGTGCTGCTCTGCATGTACCAAATGTTCTCATTCATTTTCACCTGGAACTGAAAGAAAAACCCATGGAACAAACTGTAATAACTGGGCTATCATTGTCTTTTCTGAGTCAGCTAAATGTAGGCAGTAAGAAAGAATGGAAGGTACAGGATGAAGGAGGAAGAACAGACAGAATGACAGAAAGTGAAGTGAAGGATCACTGTCACCATGACAACCATGTGGAAGTTTCTGCATGGATGGATGGATGGAAGTGTTGTCAGATCTAAACATAGATGCAGCGTGTGTGTATGTCTGTGTGTGTAGGTTGTGGCAGATGGACGTGGGTGGAGAAATAGGTCACGTAGAATTCCTGTGGGAGGACCAGCCATTTACACACACACACACACACACACACACACACAGAAGCACATTCACAAAAAAAAAGAAAGATTTGCTTTATAAGGTCTGTTTATGGGAGACAAACACAACACACTCAAATTGTTTTGCTGTGCTACTGGAACATTCTTAATCCAGCAGGAGGTTAGGCTCCACTTTACTCTACTGAGGGCATATGAAGACACTGTGGGTGGAACTGACCTATCAGTTAAGTACACAGTACAAAAGACTCTGTAGACCGCCAAAAAGTAAAAAGGTTCGGTCTTCTATACGTCACAATTGTCTCTGTTGCTGTGCTCATTTCGTTAAAAAAAAAAACT